CATCACATCTTCAACCTAGATACCAAGGACATCTTTGTTGTCCAGAATCGGAATTATTCTAGATATTTAAGATAAATATCTATGGTGACAGTGGTGCCAGGAGAAAATACAGTCTTATATTGAGGATCCTAGAATTTCTTTGCTGGATTCAGTAATGGTTGCAGATTTATAGCCTCATTGGTTTGTTTGTTTATCACAGTTACAGTAGTGGTCATCTTTAGTATGAAGTGTGATTGACAGTGTATATTACTGGCCTTTGAATGCTGCGTGTGCTACAAAAGCAAGGTATGGTTTACACGGATACCACATGTTCAGATAGTGTGATGGGATAAAATACTAATGGGATTTCCCAATGATTGGGGCTTGTGGAGCTGTGGGAGAAACAGGAGAAAAAACACAATAGTGTAATAAAAAGCTTCTGGAGACACTATTGAAATCAGGAGACTATGTAAGAATCGTTTGTGAATAACTGAGACTGAAGAAGACTTATCTGAAGATGTGAGTTGAAAAAGAAGTTTCAAAAAATAATTTTATTTGTCCATCTCCCTGTAATGAAAACAGTTGCATTAACCTAACAAGGAAATTATATTTACTTTTTATTTAAACTATATAACATGTTCTGAGTAGGACAAGAAGAGTCCGCACTGTCACAAACGTTGTCTTTCAGAGCCCATAGACCCCACCCCAGAACCCAAACCATTTGGGTAAGTCAAATACTGCGGTAGAGCATATTGCTGTACAAAATCCTTCCCAAGAAACTTTCTGCAACCCAAGCCAAGCCATTGCCAGTTTGTGACCGTACATTATTGGCATTTGTCTTAACGTCGTTGTTTGCACTTGGTAACTTTATCGACTATTTATCCATATAGATTTTGCTTCAGTTAACAGCTGCCTTCCCTTTTTGGCCACTCAAGGTTATCTTCTGGATATTTACTTATCGCATTTTGGTTTAATTTTAAAAGCTAAGATGATTGGAAATGAAAATATAGTATGAACATTTGGGGGTATTTACCTTTCAAAGGATTTTTTTCTTTCAAATGTTCACTGTTTTTAGGAAACCATGTACAAAACTTCAAGAAAGTAATGGCTATTTCTTTCCATTACGTGGCTGATTTGGACTTTGAAGGAAATCTTTGTAGCGGGAAATAATTTTCAAAATTTTTCCATTTGGAAATAGAAAGGAATGTTGTTTTTCTGCTGTCTCCACCCCCATTAAAATATATGTTAAGTATATTGATCATGAGCTTTTCTCATTTTTGGAAATGTGCTATGGGATCATAGGAGCCTATTAGTCTGACAAATCTGTATTTGAACCCTCAACGCTACTGTAGGAGACTTGGCAAGTTATTAAACTCCCATGTTGTTTATTTTCCTTTTTTGTAAAATGATGGTTATGCTTCCTACATGGTTTAGGAATGCGATGCGGAGGGAACAGAGTACCTGATATGTTACACATTAATTCCTGCCTCTCGCCCACCTCTAGCATTTCAGCTGTTATGTTACTCTCTGTGGGAACAACTAACAAGTAGCTAGTCCATTTGCTAAGACTGTGTTCACATATGCCTGTGGAAAGAGTTGATAGGGAGCGAAATCCGTAAACAACACAGTCTGTCAGAAAACAATAGGAGCATTTTATGTATAGTTGTCCTCTGTTTTGTATTTCTCCAGTCGAGAAAAACATTTGGCCAGGCTTAGAAAAGTAGATTCACATTGGTATAGGAAAGCACAAGAATTAATAATTTTAGATAGGAATAAAAAGCAACTCAATGACTTGGTAAAAGGAAATTCATTTAGGCAATATTTTCCAAAACTCAGCATGCATTAGAATTACCTGAGTAATGTGTTAGCAATGCATATTTTGGGATCCATCCCAGATATTCTGATTCGGTAAATCTAGAACTGACCCAAGAGAGCTGGAGTCATCTCGACCTCCTAGTAACTTTGAAGATATGATAGGTGGCAAAAATAAAACAAATAAATAGAAAAAATAAACTATCAACTTTATCCATTCGTGTTATCTTACTACTCTTTTTCACGTCTATCCAGATAAAGTCAGTAAGTAGACAAGACTGAAACTGATCACTCATATAGACCAACTCAAAATCTGGAGTCAGCCCTTCCTTTTATATATCTGAGGCAAAGACCGCCTCAGAGAACCTTCAAGGCCACACAAAACAAGTGTGCTGCGTTACACATTACAAGGTATACGGAAATTAATTTACAGAAGATAAATTAGCAGATAATGTTTCAGATTAGAAAACAAAGAATTTTAAGGATCCTTTATCACAAAGTCTCTTGATGCATTTGAAATAGTCTTTGATTTACACAAAACAAATTTTTACTCAGCTTTTCAGGACGACAAATAATCATATAAAACAAAATCTATAAATAAGAGAGAGGAGGAAGAAACTCCAGAGTTCTCTAAGTCCTATACAGCCGAGGCACTCTGCTGCTTTAAGATCAATGTCCTTCAGAAAAAGGTAAATAATCAACTGGATTTCCTAAATTAAACAGTGAAATATAAGCTGCCTCCTATCCCACAATGAAGTCACATGCAAGTCACAGGAGACCTTCAAGAATAACCCATCGCCAGTGTGTTTTAAATTTTCAAATGTTTCTTCCCCATTACAACTGATGGCAAAATGAAGCACAATTGTTGACTGTCCATCTAAACTGTATTTGTTGGCATATGAGGATTTTGAAAGCATTGATCTGGATTCTTTCCCCTTGGCACCTCTCTATTTAGGGCCAGCTATCGAGAGTTGAGAAAGTAATGGGAGGAAAGTTCTTTCTTACTTGCAAGACCAATTCCTCTGGACCTTGAGACATTTTATATTTTCTGATATTATTATACCATCACCTTGCATGATAAACTGTTAAGAACTATTTCAATATAAGATGTTATTATTTCTACTCTGGAGATTCCTTACCTTCTGCCCTGAGACCAAATATCTGCCAGTCCCATTACCTCTGGTTTCCCAGCCTTCCATCTACCCAGAACATCTGATTTTCCTTCTGACAGTTTACTAACAGTACATCAGGCGTATGTTTTCATGCTTTCAGTATCTTTACTTACTTTGAATGTTTAATTTGAAAGATGATATCTGTCTTCCAGTCAGGAACAGTCAAAACCAAATATATTTTAGTGGCTATATGTTAGAAAATATTTTTGCAAAAAGATTTTTCTATTTTTAAGCAATGTATGGAGTCAGAGCTGAGTTCAAATTAGGATTATGTCATTGGTCTTGAATGTTAAATTTGGGCAAGTTTTCTTTCCTTCTAAAAATATAATGTATACTAAAAATCTGTACAGTTTTGTGATTTTCTAGAACATTCAGCAAGGACTACGGAAAGAGACTTGGCAAAAATGAGTTGATCAGTAAAATATATTATTGGCATGTTAGCATTTGTTTTAACATCTGTGTTAGTCTATATAAATTATATTTTAGTTATGAGAAAATTAAGAAAAAAGTTCTCTGATAATTAAAAAAAATTATGATTCAGTAAATCTTGCCAAAAAAAAAAAAAAGGAAAAAAGGAAATAATTTTATACAAGTGTTCCCCATCAGCTCTAAACTTTTAACTTTAGACTATGCATCTCTTATAATTATGCAATCTCAATTTAGAAAGTCTTTGGTATCTCTCCTTGTGCTTCTAGATTTTATGTCTGCATCTTGGGGTCTACATTCCGCATCTTGGGAGGAATTGTTCTGCACATTTACAAATGATCTTGCGTGTGAAGAAATATGTGATTTGCCACATTTTTTGAACAGTTTTAATGTGAGAGTCCAGAGCAGCACACAGAAAGAGTTCATTCAGCCCACATATTATACAGATAGCGGAATGGAATTAGAGATTACGAAACCACTTGTCAAACACTTTTTCCTTTTATCTTATCCACTCTCTCAGGAAGTTATCTGGCATTGATCAGAGAGAGAAGGATTTTAGTATAGTCAAAAGACTAACAGCCTCAAAGTTTTGAGAATGGATCAACCATACCCGTTGTGTTCTGGGTGAGGGCTCAACTTCTTTGAGATTAATGTGTCTTCATAGGGTTGTTATGAAGACAAAATGAGATAATATGTGTAGAATGTGGTTTGTAAACCTTAAAACACTGCATAATTTTATTGTTGCTGTAGCTGCTGCTGTTGTAATCATGCTGGGTCAAACTTTTCATTTTTCAACTCAAAACACAAGTAAACATTTTAGCTGTTTAAATAGGAGATCAATAGACAGGAAGGGAGGTGGGGTGAATAGTTGGAGGAAATGGGAGATTATTGAATGTTGAAAAAGATAGGTTAGAAACACAAGTTTTATACATAAACGGATATAACTGGCAAATGTGTGATAAAGATTCCAGGCACAATCTTTTAAACAAGTTTTCACCACCCTCTACCCCAATCCGAATGTGGCAAAATAAAAATTAAGGAAACAAATAACCCAGTATCTTTTTTTTTTCTCATTAAAGTCTCTTTTGATTTAATTTCAAATCTCCAACTTCTTAGGTCATTTGTTTTTTGGGTAGCTTAGAGTCTTGGATGCACAGACCTATGGCTCCGAGGTAATTGCTATATTACCACTTTAGACGAACTTAAAATTTTTAGGAAAGAAAATGAGTTACTTCAGGAAATCAGCATATATTTGTAAGGTTACTGGAATCTTAAAATTTCCAAAAATCATTTATCAATTTGAAAGTGTCTGGTTTCAAAGAGGTTTAAAGCACTTACTTACACAAACTAATTCTCCCTTTTGTGTCTTTGCGAGGACAATTTCTAACGAGAAAAATTGCATTTTTGGTTTACATTTGGTTTACATCAAAAATAAAATTTTGCATTTGATTTTAGACCCACAAATTATAGATTTGAAGCCTACAATAAATTTGCTTACTGTGCAAAGTGAAATCTCAAGTAGAGGATTACGAATATTCATAGAATAATACAATGTAAATAAATTACAAATTGGAAAAATAAAGATTAAAATTAGACTTAAAAGGATAAAAGTTTTTGAATAGCAAATAATTTATGCAAAATATGTTACAAAATGTGGGATGCTAAATAGTTGGCACAAGTATTGTGTTTGATATTTATATTCATTTGAATTAGTAATAGAGTTTGCTTTTTTCAACATTTACATCTTTTTCCCTTTCTGACTTTCATATTTTGAACAAAAATTTGCCCTATAGTTTGGAAGTGGATTCTTCTTGAAGCTGCTTTTAAATTTGCTGCAATGAACTAGAATAAGACTAGACTTTTGTAGATATAATTTCTTTGGAAGAGATTAAAAACTTAAAAGTTTGACATTGCTTTTCACAATTCTTTTCCTCATTGTTTTTGACTGTGTTTGACCCACTAGATTGATAGATCCTTGATCTATTTTTTATGTCATGAATATAAAATAACTGTATAAAAAGCACTTCTCCTAGTGAAACAGTAATTGAAACTTGCAGTTTTATATTTTAAAAAAAGACCAAGAAGAATGCATGATTACCATAAAGTAACAGTATTTTCAAACAATAACCTACGTCAATCAAACAACAGAAACAATTTGATGATTACCCCTTCTGAAAAGTCAGATTTTCTTAATTTGATTTGTGTTAACGTTATAATACAATTGCATAATCAACATAGGAGCTGGGCTGGTGTCAAATTACACTGAGTTATTTCTCAGATAATTTGCAGGTGAATTCCACTATAGAGGGCAATATAAACAATTTAGAACATAGTGAGGATTTTGATAGTCTAATTGAATGATAAAGTTCTCCATCATGCTCCTATTTATTTTGAATGAGCTGTAGATGTTTAAAGTTCTCCCTCAGGAGAGAATCGATGTAGCACGCAATACCAAAAATCTCATCTATTTCCTTTGAAATGTTCCCCAAATATAATCTCACAGTTCTAAATGAAAACTTGTCTTAAGAGCCAGGCACATTTTGCATTGACTGGTGGTTATTTTTAGGTAAACCACTTTGGGTTAATTAGGAGAAAAAATGCTAATGTATAAATTATTATGCTCTAGCCTCCCACCTTGGCCTGCAAATAATGAGATGTAACAAAAGTTTTTCTTTGTCACTGGCAGCGGCACCTTTGAAGTGTATGGAAGTCTGTTGCTGTGGTTACGGCCTTTGTTTCCAGTGATGTTTTGTCCATGCTTCCCCCCACCTTTGACAATGGTTGCTCAAAAGAATGAAATAATGAGTCATTCATTCGGAAACACTTTGTTAAAATATCCCTCTTTATCATTACATTTCACTGCTTCGAAACTAGGCTGTAATTCAAGGCAACAGTTAAGTCTGAGAAGAACTGTTAAAAAAAAAAAACTTTGATTCCCATTTATAAGAAAAACCTGTCTGTGTAATTGAAGAATCTCTTACAAGTCTGAACAATTAAATCCTTTTTGGTTAATGTATTATTTCTGGAACAAGTAGATAAAATTCTACGCAGTAAGCATCATAAAAATCGTGCATGTTTTTTTTACAGCACAGAATTTTAGAGTCAAGGTCTCTGGGCACAAAAGCAGTAACAAAACAGTCCCTACAAAACTGAGTAACTCTGAAGAACACAAGAAATAATTTTTGTTAATTTGAAATTTTAGAAACTGAAATGCGTAAAGTTTGTAAAGGAAAGTGTAATTAAATTATGGTACTGTATAGACCAGTTGTTTCTATAATTGAAAATTTACAATATGAAAAATACATTAGCTCTGTACAGTTTTTACAGGTAGGTAGGATGAGTTTTGAAAAAAAGATTCTTTTTTTTTTTTCAGGGTCATACTCTGTTTAAGTCAAAAAAATACTGCACAACTTAGCTAATTACAAAGTGTAGACTTAAAACAATTCATGTCTTCTTTATTTCATGAATTAATCTTGGATTTTTGTTTATTGGAACAGGGAATTGGTTGTTTTGTCGTTAGCGTCCACAATGAATGCATCTTCCTCATGTTGTCCTTGAGGTTACAAACTTTGGCAGCAAACCTTGGCTACCAACGAGCTCAGTTAAGCGAGCTGCTGTTTATGGTCACTGATTCGGCCAGCTGTTGTGATTGTGCTCAGGTCCAGCTCAGTCTCCAGGTGTGTTTCCATCGTGTCTTCCTGTGCATTCGTTTCAAAGGACTTATGAGAGAGGAGTTCATGATGCACCCCACAGTAACTTATTGTGGGCTGGTCGTATGCCAGAAAGGTTGACACATTCATTGATAAAGGTATCTGAGGAAAGAAAAAAAAATGATATGAGAGAAGTCAGGTATAAAAAGATAGACAGCTGTGGAGCCTGTGACTTGACTAATTTCTCTGACTGCATCTGGGGCTCAGCTGTCCCAGGCTATCCTGCCAATGTCCCTTATTCTCATATAATGAACTCAATACAACAGTTTTAAACCTTGGGAGGAAGCTGCTTAAGTATTAACTAGAACCTTTGGATAAATAGCCACCTCACTGGTTCTGAAAATCATAAAATCTTTATTGGCCCACTCACAAAATTAGTTCTGTGTATCTTCACTGAATCCCCAACAATTAAAAAAAAGGAATTGCTTTCCCTCACTGGGAAAAACTGTGTTTTTAGAACTAAGAAAAGTATTCCAGTAGAACTTCCGTAATTGACCACCTCCCCACATTGCCCACTCCTGCAGTGGACCTAATGTTCAGAGACTGACATGCCCCACATGTAGGTATCAGGCTAGTACGCCAAATTCCTTATGTTGACCACGTCTGCATGTTGGACAGTTTCTTACAGTCTCTCGGGTGGTCCATTGCAGAGACTCTACTGTATTTGGTTAGGAAACAAAAGAACAGTGGTTCTCCCATGCTAGTATGCATACAAAGCACCTCACTTTCCTTTAACTTTCCATTTCCTTGCCCCGAAGTTTCTCCTTCAGCAGGTCTGGGGTAGGGCCTGGAATCTGCCTTTTTCACAAGTTCCCACATGATGCTGATTCTGTTAATCCACACGCCACACTTTGAGGACCATTACAAAAGAGGATTGTCTGGTCAAGCAATTATGGCTGTTGTCTTACCCGGTGACTTCTTAATAGTTATTGCACCATGCAGATTCCTTGAAATATTAATGTCTGTGGCTTGATCCATAGATCTAAAATTTAGAGCTTAGCGAACTCTCAGGAAAAATCTTTGGTTCCTGTGAAGGTGTGAAAGGCATCAAAGGATGATTCTAGTTTGAGGAAACCAGAGCTAGGGATGAGAGAGGGAGTGTCCCTTGTGAACAGAAAAAAAAGCAAGTTCCAAACACGTGAGGGAAAAAGCAAACATGAACATGGTGAGCAGAAGGGAGGCATACATGGTACAGAGAGAAGGCAGTCTGAGGTAGAATCAGATGCCCAAGTCTGGGGAGCAGTCCTTTATATTTTTCTTTTTTTTTTTTTTTTGAGACAGGAGCCTCAAGCTGTCCCCCTGGGTAGAGTGCTGTGGCATCACAGCTCACAGCAACCTCCAACTCCTGGCCTCAAGCGAGTTTCCTGCCTCAGCCTCCCAAGTAGCTGGGACCACAGGCGCCCACCACAATGCCCGGCTATTTTTTGGTTGCAGCCATCATTGTTTGGCAGGCCCAGGCTGGATTCGAACCCGCCACCTTGGGTGTACGTGGCTGGCGCCTTAGCCACTTGAGCCACAGGCCCAGAGCCATATTTTTCAATAAGATGAAAACTTGTCCTAAAAATAGGCAGATTTAGGGAACCTTCATCCCTGATCTCAGTTTAATATCCTAATTACTAATCCACACTGCTGAATTCCCTCGGATAAAAGCTTCTGCTATTCTTGTTTGGGAAATAGATAAAATATACTTCTGTTTTAGTACAGTAGACTACATTTTCTTCTGATCTCAGCTGAGACTAGAGCCCCAAACTAAGAAAAATAGAAAATCTTGGTTAACTCTTTTAGAAGTTGCGTCTTTACCATCTTCCCTCCCGTATTCTTGCTTTAGAATGCGTGCTCTTCGCCTCTTTTCCTTCCATTCTAACTTTTCTACTCACATTTATTTCTCCCTCAATGAAAATTGGTTGAGAAAACATTTCCTGGTTTCCTCTTCAATGGAAGCATTTATTTCTTTTGAGATTACTTATTACATGATTATGTCCATGTTAAGTATCTAGGACTTAGTCATCAGAGGCAGAAATATAATCAGGTCACCAAAATAAATACCTTAGTGGCCATTTCTATTTGTGTAGATTTTTAAAATTTGAAATAAGAGTTACGTGATGTATGAATAAAAGATATCATGCACTAAAAAATGGTCAGGGTGACTGAAAAGTCGTGAAGAAAATGCTTACTAATAAAATAGGATCCTGCCATTTAAACTAAACAATTCTGTTGTTGTAGATTAAATAGCCCAAATAACTAAAATATATTATTTTGTAAAAATAACTGTGTAGCAAGAGTAGGATTGAGGAATAAGAGAGAATAAGTATGGGACTGTTATTGTATACCTGAGTTTTACATTAGTGTCTGGGATATCAACACTTTGAAGTGTGTTGTGGGTCATATGTCTATAAAATTCTGTATACTTGTTCTTATTTGTTATGGAAATTTATGTCTCACAGATGCTGAGTCATTTCTAGCTTAGCCGGAATGAACTCTACTGCGAATAATTTGTAATTTCTATGGTGATGATCTTTGAAAAATGATAAACTATGATACATTTATACAAGATACAAATTTTATGAGCGTATACAATATCCTAGTTTTATTTAGTATCTAGAAGTTGCAGGTACTAGAGTGTAAGTCCTTAATTTGAAACTATTAATTAAATAGCTATCTCTGATTATCCATTTCAAAATTCTACATATTTTCTTATTGTTGGACATATCTTATTTTGAAATAGCTTATCCCATGATTATACTGTTTCAGTGTAAAGGCTGATTTTTTTTTGGCATTTAAATACATCTAAAATTTGGATGGTAACAAGCACCCACTTACATAAGCAATGTGGATGTTTAACATGTATTTTTTTTCCTGCAATTTCCGTCTTAGGTTTGATGATCTTACTGTCCAAAAAGTAACATAGGTAAGACGTATCGGCAAGTAGAATTTAACAACTAACCATTTCTGAATGCAACATCAGAGTAGATTTCTTCCAGTTGACTTAAATGATTTGGAAATTCTAAGGGATTAGCAATGGACATATACACATGTGTATATATAGTAGTTCATATATTTAACACACATAAACACACAATTCATACATATATATGTTTATAGACACATACATGTATAGTCTTCTAGCAAATTATTTATGATTTCAAAGTCATTTAAATCAGTTATAGAAAATAGATGTTTTGGTGATACGTCATTTTGGGACCATGTAAAAATATTTGGTTAAATTTAAATAATTTCCTTTCCAATTTTTTATTCCTAAGTATTTTATGCAGATGTGCTGAAACGCATGTTTATATTCTTTAGTGGCTAATATGATGGATACAAATTATTGAAGCTTTATGATATGTAGTATCTGAGGCGCTATGCTCAACAATATGTAGAACCTAAATATTACTGGATGTACTAAGTGATTTAGGCATAAAATACGGTCAGTAATTTTCCTTTTAAACATATATTGTTCCTACCAATTACTATAGATGGTAATTCACTCAGTATTTTCTTTAAATATGATTCCTATCATATATTTTAAAATATGTGATATAAAATAAATCTTACTTACATTTAAAAGGTGTTTTACCACTTCTTAGTCTTTTATCTTAAGGTCAAGTGTAAATTTTTTTCCTTTTTTTTTTATTATTATTACATTAATGCAAACATGGGGTACAGTGTAGTGTTTTCATATACATTTTGAAATACTTTCATCAAGCTGGTTCACATAAATTTCATGTCATTTGCTTAGTCATTGTGTCAAAACATTTACATTCTAGTTCTAGAAAAGATCACTTGTACCCTTGTTAGACAGAAATATAGGTGATCTTTCCGGTCAAGTGTAAATTTAAAAGCTCCAGTTCCCTCTGTTGAGAAGGAAACACTCAATAAAAGATTATTCTCTTAGGAAACACTTATGGCATTAGGAGATCCATGTAGTCCAGACATTGTGTATAATTTTTAAGCACTGTATTTTGTTTTTACCACATTCATATACAAAATACAATGAATCCTAAATACAGTAGAAGTAAACATAAATATAATATTTATTATCTACATTTGTATGGGGGGGGGTATTTTTGCCTCTAATTATCTTCAAGGAGAAAAGTACTTTTTTGTAAAAGCAATTCATCCTCATGAAAGGTATTACATATATTGTTTGTAGTAGCTCTCCTTTGCCGTATCAGCATAGGTATTGAGCACCTCCTCACTGTGGGCACTGGATTCTTCCATAAGTTATAATATTTCAAGTAGGAGTCACATGTAAGGTGTCCAGGCATTTACTCCTTACGTAGCGATACACCACTGGCTGCCTGATGTCATGATAGAGCCTGAAGGAGATGCCTTTGGGAACGTGACAAATGCAATTCACTAGAGGGCTGTAATTTGAAAAAGGAGTATGAATAGGAGGAAATCTATTCGTGTTTCAAATAAATTATCTCAAATATTAGACTATTAAAATCTGCACATGGTGCTTTTCACAGCAGGGAGTACAGTTGATCAGAAGTCTGGGGAATGCGTAAATGAGGTCAGCGGCTTTTCTTAGGGCTCTAGTTTTGTTGGAAGGGTATGGCGTTGGCACCACAAAGTGGCTGGCGGCTGGGCAGTAAAGCAGAGGCTGCTAGCTGGCGTCAAACACTTGGGCTCAGATTCAATCTACGTAAAGGTCTTCCTGTCACTGAGCCACAGGAAATGGAGCAGCCTCTTCTCCTTTTTCACGTGCTCAGCAAGTGGCTGTATGTCTTTTTCCTTTTCTCTGTCCAGACTAATTTGTATTCTCTCTCTCCTCCTCACTCCATTTTCCCCTGATTTCTGAGAACGTGCTTTCCCCTGTGGCAGGGTGTTCAAGGGTACTTGTCCCAGTTTGTGTTGACTGTTCCATTTTGGACAACAAATCACTTTGCTAATCTATCTGGAGATGACCCAAACGTGTTATTCATAAAAAGAAAATAAACAGCGATTTTAGCCGCCTGCATAGATAGTTGTAATGGCTCCAGAAACCACACCTACGGTGCATCTTACAAGGGGACATGTGAAATTTACTAGGTGTACAATATACATGTCTTCACACAATAACCGAGAAAATGCCGTGAAGGCTTTGTTGACCAGTTTGA